GGTTTTTTTCGCTCTTCAGGGGTGGGGGGGGGGGTAAGGAAGGGGGGGGTGTTTAAAATTTCGCTTGCCCTCTGATGACATCCATGCCGGCAAACATGGTTTTTTTCGGTGTTTTTTGCGCGTTGTTGCCGAATGACGACGTCCATGCTGCAAAACATCGGTTTTTTCGGTGTTTTTGCTGGTTGTTGCCAGATGATGACGTCCATGCCGCCAACATCGGTCTTTTCCGTGTTTTTGTTCGTCGTTGTCGGATGGTGACGTCCATGCTGCAAACATCGGTATTTTCGGTGTTTTGGCTCGTTCTTGCTTGTTGGGGGGGGGGGGGTGGGGGGGGGTTTTCATCTCAAGGGGGTTAAGAACGTCCGTTGCCGGCCCCCCATCCCCAAGCAAAACTAGCATCCATTTCTCTGTTCCAAAAGTAGCTGCCGCAAAACACAAGATGCGATATAACTTAAAATGCTCAAAAACCCAAGCGAAACGCACGTCCTTGCCGCCCCGTACCAAGGCGCCTGCGGCGCGCGACGCGTAGTGGTAGTAGTAGTAGTAGTAGTAGTAGTAGTAGTAGTAGTAGTAGTAGTAGTAGTAGTAGTAGTAGTAGTAGTAGTAGTAGTAGTAGTAGTAGTAGTAGTAGTACTACTACTACTACTACTACTACTACTACTACTACTACTACTGCTACTGCTACTGCTACTGCTACTACTACTACTGCAACTACCGCAACTATTGCTGCTACTACACTGCTGCTCCTGCTATCAAGCAGATCACAGGCAGATGGAGCTGCCCGCTGCGGACCGCTTCAAGGCAATCACGGCAGCTCTGGCAGGCGGCCGTCGCGGCCCTTTTCATGGCCCTTCTTGAAGGCTCAGGGAGCTTAGCAAGTATAAGTTTCTAGAGTAGGTACCCTGAGTTGGGCTATCCTAATTGAACTATGGCCGGACTTGAACCAACTTGATAAGTTCCCGGACCCTGCTAGTTGTGATGACTTGATGACATGTCTTCTAAGGGTGATTCTGGACTTCTTCGGCAGAAGATCTCTTGGCAAAGAGCCCCTGAACCCTCAACTCCAAACTTTCGACGATGCCCAAATCTTCTCACGTGCCAGCTCTCCCAGCGACGACAGAGACCTGTGCGCTGGAGCACACACTGCTTTGTGCCCGGCACTCGCGCCTTTCTTTCCGCTTGGTTGTGATTGGGGTCACGGGATGCGTTGGGCCTCGGGCCGGGGGCCGAAAGCGGGGTTGTGCCAGGCCCTGGCTTCTTAGGGTAGTTGCATGGGCCCTGATCATGAACCCTTAATTGGGGAACCCGTCTAACCCCTACACCCTAAATCTTATAAAACCCATAGGAGGTATTCAAGGATTTTGCATGAAGCAGTGGCTTGGGATGGTGGAAAGGACGGAGGCAACCCCGGTCTCGCAGTTGAGCAGAAGTCTTGAAGGCTTTAGGGTTGAGGGTTTAGGGTTTGGCTTTAGGTTTAAGGTTTGGGGTTTAAGGTTAGGGGTTTCGAGCCTGCTCTGTCCTTCCAAGTGTGGAAGGACTATGCCGGGGGGTGAAGACTCTCTTCCCCATGCCATTGGTTGTTTTTTGTGTCTCCTGGTCTTGCAACCTCGGTCTTGGATCGGCTTGCTTTCATGCTTGCTTTCCTCTTTGCAAAGGTCGTCGACGAAGAGCTGCAGCGACTTCGCGCGCAGATGGAGAGCTGGAAGCCCAGTCGTCGTCGTGACATGGTCTGAAATCCCTTCGTGTCGCTCTGTTGAAACATCTGATCAGACCACAAGTTCCTGTTCCCTAAACCATAAACCCTAAACCCTAAACCCTAAACCCTAAACCCTAAACCCTAAACCCTAAACCCTAAACCCTAAACCCTAAACCCTAAACCCTAAGCAAAAACCACGTTGAAGCCGCTTGGCCTAGCCCTTGTCACACTCTTTGGTTTGACCCTCGTTACTTGCAGATTCATGGGTACCTGCAAGTAGGGTTGGAAGTACCCTAGGCAAGGTGATAACCATAGTTGTCCTACTTCTCAACCTACTTACAAGCACCCATGAACCTCCAAGTACGCCCCTAAACGCTGAACCCTAAACCCTAAACCCTAAACCCGAATCCTTAAACACGAAACCCTAAACCCTAAACCCCTAAACCCTGAAGGTCGTGACGTGTCCTCTGAAGCGGCGGAGACGCTGGCAAAGGAGCTGAACCAGCTGGACACCCAGGCAACGGCACGCTGGGCGACGCTGCAGGACGGCCACCCGTGGGGTGCTGGGGGTTTAGGGTTTAGGGTTTGGGGTTTAGGGTTTAGGGTTTAGGGTTTAGGGTTGGAGACAGAGGCTTCTCGGGGGCTTCAGGGGCTTTCAGAGTTTTGGGGGCTTCGGAGTTTCGTCTTTGAAACCTTTCGAAGGGGCTGAGTGCTGCTACGAAAGCAGTACCTACAGATGTGAATCTGCAGCAACCCACCAAACGTGTGACCTGGGTGACATCAACAGAGTCACGTTTTGCATCAACCGGGCACTTCTCGAGAGGTCGGCGCCGTATTCTATGGGGGATTAAAATTCAGAGAACTGCCCACAGAAGCGTCGTCTCCGAGATGGTTGGTGTCAAAAGCTTTGGACATATGTTGGGTCGGTCTTGATTTTGGTCCCTGTGGGCCAGGTCCTGTTAACAAGGGCGTAAGGCCCTGAACCCTAAATCCCAAACCTAAACCCCAAACCCTAAACGCTAAGCCCTAAGCCCTACACCCCAAACCCTCAAAAACCTAAGCCCTAAACCCAAGTCAAAGCAATCCCCAATGTGGCGGCCTCATCAGCCCTGCCCCAGGCCAGTCAGGCCTCGCCGACCCCGTGAGAGAAGCCGGGGTTTCGGGTTAAGGGTTTAGAGTTTAGGGTTTCGGGTTTACCCGTGAGAGAAGCCGGGGTTTAGGGTTCACCTGGAGGTTCATGTGGGTACTTGTATAGAAGTCGGGATAAGAAGTATGCTATATACTTCTGACGATCGTACCTATGGGTACCCCAATGAAAAGGAGCTTACTCGACTCCGTTTCAAGAGTAACCCCCGCAAAGGGACCCCAATTGAGGAGAGCCCCCCCTCCCACCCCCGCCTGAAGGCGAGACCCCGAAACCCGAAATTGTACCCTGTACTACCCTAAACCCCACATTAAACCCTAAAACATGGCTCAGGAATTCCTGTACCCTAAACCCTAAACCCTAAACCCTAAACCCTAAACCCTAAACCCTAAACCATGAAGCAGGATGCCCATGTTGAAGCATGGCTGCTGCACCGCTGAACCATTGGAGAGCACAAAGGGGCTCCCGGAGCTGTGCAGGCGAGGAGGTTACGTTTAGGGGTTTAGGGGTTTAGGGTTTAGGGTTTAGGGTTTAGGGTTTAGGGTTTAGGGTTTAGGGTTTAGGGGAATTCGGGAAGTAGGTGGGGTATATTGAGGGGCACATGGGGTACCCAGTTCTAAGCCCTAAGCCCTAAGCCCTAAGCCCTGAGCCCTGAGCCCTGAGCCCTAAGCCCTAAGCCCTTCAAGCCCTAAGCCCTGAACCCTGAGCCCTGAACCCTAAACCCTGAACCTTAACCCCAACTCCCCTCCAAAGAACTAGTGAGCTAGTAGTGTGATGGCTTCAAGTAGCTTCTCTGCCTGCAGCGTTCGTTAATGAATCCCCCACGCCGTTCGCTGCGATGCGCTGCTGCGGGAAAAAGAATCAAAGCCGCGTGGCGGGGCTCAAGGGTCAGCCCTAAACCCCCTTAAACCGCCATAAGCCCCCGCCCCCGCAACCCGCCTAAACTCCCTCAACTTCCTAAACTCCCTAAGCCCCGAAGCCACCAAAAGCTCCCGAAGTGCCAAAACGCCCCAGGAAACCCCAAAAGGCGCCCGGGGCTGCCAGAGGCAAAGGATAAGGTGTACTTGCGGCTTTAGGGGTTTTTAGGGAGTCGGGTTTGGCAGGTTCATCAGGGGACTCGCAAGTAGGCTTTCTAAGTACCCTGAAGAACGTAAGAACCACAGTGCGAACCCTACTTGTAGGTACACCCTAAACCCTGAACCTAAATCCTAAACTGCAAACCTACTCATAAGAACCGAAAACCAATGAATCCAGAAGTTTAAAAAAACTAAATCCTGACTTAATTGTTGCCTTGAACCCATAGAAGTTAAAAAAAAAAAACACTAAATCCTGATTTAATTGTTGCCTTGAACCCATAAGAACCTCCAAGTATTCCAAGTTCTTGGGCTCTCCGAGTCTGCAACCGAGGCCCAAAAGTTCGTCGCTGCATCGCGCCGACCCAAGCTTCGCTCCGGGGTGGGGGACTTTGGGGGGCCCTAAACCCTAAAACCCAAAACCCAAAACCCTAAGCCCTAAGCCCTAAGCCCTAAGCCCTAAACCCTAAACCCTAAACCCTAAACCCTAAACCCTATCGACACCAAACCCCAAGCCCAGGCTTGAATGTCATGTTCTGAAGGATGAAAAGCAGGCCAGCCAGTTGACACTTGACCCCCTCCCTCTGGCTGGTTCTTATTTAGGGTTTAGGGTTTAGGGTTTAGGGTTTAGGGTTTAGGGTTTACCCTCAACCCTAATTCCCTCATTCCCGACTAAGAACCAGGGGGCCCTCTCCCTCTCGAGATTTCTTGCTCTGAGGTGCCTGGAGCCCAAACCTGGTTTTCGGGTTCAGGGCCGAGGGGTTGAGGGGTGTAGGGTTTAGGGGTTTTGGGGTTTAGGTTTTAGGGGTTTAAAGGGGTTAGGGTTTAGGGTTTAGGGTTTGGGGTTTGGGGTTTGGGGTTTATGGCTTAAGGTTTAGGGTTCAGGGTTGAGGGTCCATTGCCTACTTGCCATGGCTCGTAGCGCCACCCTGGTGCTGGTGGCCGCCGCCTGGAAGCGCGAGGAGAACCCCAGCTGCTGGACAGCGGCTTGATGGAAGCTGTGGGTTGGGACCTTCATTTTCCTTATGATTATTTCGGGTTCAGTATTTTGGGGTTTAGGGTTTCGGGTATAGGGTTGTGCTCGTAGGGTTTGGGGTTGTAGGGTTCAGGGGGGGCTGGGGTCTTCTGAGGAAGCCAAGATACACCATCCTCATGTAGCCATCAGACCTTGAACCCTCAACTCAAGAACCTTAACCTTGACAATCAGAGTTTGCTGCTACCCCTGTGTTTGGTTACCTCTTTTTAAATATCCGTTGTATAGCCCGCGATACGCCGTGATTAGGCGATCACGCGATAGTCCTGTGACCCCGGAACCGGTGTGCGGGGCTACCGGGCCACTCTCTGTACGTGAACCCTGCTGCCTATTTAGAATTGGACGCTGGCTTGCCTTGCCAGAGCCTGTTTCGGAACCCCGTCATTACCCATCATAGTAGACTCCCTAAGCCCTACAAAGCCCAAAATCGCCCTACTTGGAGGATCATGGGTACTTGCAAGTACGGCTATAAGTAGGGTAACTATGGTGATGACCTTATTCAGGGTACTGAAAACCCTGCCTACAAGTACCCATGAACCTCCAAGTCTACGCGCCCTAAGGACGGTTACACGTACGAGCTATGCTGCGGCCCCACCCCGCGGCCGGATTGCTTCCCGGGACGGGCCATTGTGAGCTTGGGGGGATTTGGGGTTTTCAGCGTTGAGGGATGGAGGGTTGGTAGGGTTTAGGGATTGAAGGTTTAAAGGGTTAAGGGATTGAGGGTTATGGGCTTTAGGGTTTGGGGATTGAGGGAAAGACCGAAAGCCCAAAACCCCAAATCTCCGACAAAACCTTCCTGCAAGGAGCCATCGCCCCTCACACCAGGGAACGCTGCTGCCATAGCCCATGTGGTCAGGCGTTGCGCGGCAGGAGATCTTCCTTCATTGCTCACGAGGGGCGGGAGGGGAGGGTCCTCTTGGAGGTACCTTTCATAGCCGATACAGTAAAGGCTTTCTACGAAGGCCGAAGAAGGCACTCTACCCAACAGGAATTCTACAATCCCAAGGCCTTCTACAAAGACCAAAAGAGATTCTGGGAAGGAACCCCAAAGCGGAGATCCTCATGGGAACCCCAAACAGGGAACCCCAAGAGTTTGGTAGGAATATACAGCGAATATATGGGCCCTGGTCGGCTTTGAAAGCGTTCTCACCCATCGCATTCCTTTTCTTGGGGTTCCGTTTTTGGGGTTCCCAGTAAAGTCCCTTTATACAAGGGATTCTACGCAGGAGCCCCCAAAAGGGGATTCTGGCTTAGGGCTTATAGGGTGTAGGGTTTAGGGTTCAGGATTGAGGGTTTAGGGCCACAAGGGATTTCCAGTTGGAACGCAGGATCCAGCAGCTGTCACGCAGCCTTTGCCCCAGGCCGCTGCGCTTGTGCCGTATTAACGCTTTGACCCCTAAGCCCTAAGCCCTAAGCCCTAAGCCCTAAGCCCTAAGCCCTAAGCCCTAAGCCCTAAGCCCTAAGCCCTAAGCCCTAAGCCCTAAGCCCTGAGCCCTAAGCCCTAAGCCCTAAGCCCTAAACCCTAAACCCTAAACAAGGCGGCAGCTGTCCAACACCACACTGGTGACCGGCCTCTGGAATTTGCACAGGGAGGAGTGGCCCTCCCATGATCGATACCAGGAGAGCCATGAAGAGGGGTTTCGGGGTTTTAGGGGTTTAGGGGTTTAGGAGATTAGGGGTTTAGGGTTTAAGGGGTTTAGGGTTTAGGGGTTTAGGGGTTTAGGGGTTTAGGGGTTTAGGGGTTTAGGGGTTTAGGGGTTTAGGGGTTTAGGGGTTTAGGGGTTTAGGGGTTTAGGGTTTCGGGCTTTGGGTTTAGGGATTGAGGGATTAAGAGATTTTAGGATTCGGGCTACAGTAGCCCAGCGTTGCCCACTTGCCCTTTTCGGTGACCCCCAAGAAATTCTGCAATTGACTATTGAACCACCCCAAAAAACAAAAAGAAACAAAAAAGAGGATACAACCCTATTTTCGGACCCATACTTGTAGTGGGGTAACAGAAAGCTGGGCCACGTGGGGAGACCATCAACGTTTTCGAACGTGCAATTGGGCACCAAGGTGCAACGACATTTTAGGGTTCCTTGCTCCTGTTCGGGGTCCCTGTTACGGACCGTCGTCCTTAACGCGCGCCAAAAAAAGGATTAGTCTCTCTCGCTCTCTCTCTCTCTCTCCCACAACTTGCCCTGTTAAACATTGTATACTTGGAGGTTCCTTGGTACTTATAGGCAGGGTTATATACCCTAAAATAGGTTGTAGCCATAGTTCCCCTACTTATAGCCCTACTTATAACTACCCATGAACCCTCAAGTAGCCCCATAGCAGCCCATGTCCATACCTCTCCAGACCGCCGCCCATGTCCATACCTCTCCAGACCGCCTTGCCTCTTAGGAGGGTTTGAGAGCACAGCTCATCTAGTGTTTCGAGTATGCGCCCCCCAGTACGGGCCCCAATTTTTTTGTTTTGGGTAGGGGTTCCTCCATTCGCCCCATAACCTTTTGAATTCAGAGCTCGTGCAGGAGGGAGATGGACATTCGTCACTGGCCCGGAGAGTCAAGCTTGCTCTGCCCATGTCGGCGGTGAACTTGATTCACTCTTAACCCTAAGCCCTGATAGCGTCAAACCCTGAAACCCTGACACCCTGAAACCCTGCAACCCTGAAACCCTGAAACCCTGAAACCCTGAACCCAAAGCCCTCACCCTGAGCCCAAAACCCTAAGCCCGAAAACCCTTGCAGAAGTACTTCTAACCCCAATAACCCTAAACCCTAAGCCCTAAGCCCTAAGCCCTAAACCCTAAACCCTAAACCCTAAACCCTAAACCCTAAACCCTAACCCCTAAACCCTAAACCCTAAACCCTAAACCCTAAACCCTGAACCCTCCAAGCTGGGGCGAGGTTCCAGAAGTACTTCGCCTGGATGAGCCACCTGCTGCAGAAGCCCCAGGCGCTGGTCGTCTTCGGGGAAGCCGAGACGCTGCGGTACGCCGTGGCTTGTCCTAAGGGCTTAGGGTTTTTTACGGATTTTAGGGCATAGGGCTTAGGGCTTAGGGTTTGGGGCTTAGGGGCTTAGTATAAGGGCTTAGGGCTTTTAGGGTTTAGGGCTTAGGGCTTAGGGTTTGGGGCTTAGGGGCTTAGTATAAGGGCTTAGGGCTCTGGGATCCGCTCTTCAGGAGCTTTTGGAAGCTACAGCGCTCTGGGCACTTGGCTCTTCGGGGTAAAGGGTTTAGGGTTTTCGGGTATAGGGCCCCGCTCCCCTTTAAAAATGAAAAAAAACTAGTTCCAAAAAAAAACTTTCGTTGAACACTTTCGTTCAAAACGTTCGTTCAAAACGTTTTTTTCAAAACGTTATTGGGACCCAAACCCTATACAATTTCTATAAGCCCTGAACCCTCAGCCCTCAACCCTCAACCCTAAACCCTTGCAGCTTCGTGAGGCTTCTGTCAGACAAGCCCGTGGTCTCTCACTTCTCAGCTGCCTGGTGGAGGCAGGATGTTTAGGGTTCAGGGTTTAGGGCTTAGGGCTTAGGCCTTAGGGTTGAGGGCTGAAGGTTGAGGGTTTAGGGTTGAGGGTTGAGGGTTTAGGGTGGAGGGAATTCGGCAACATTCGGTGCCCTGTGACTCCCTTAGGAGTGTTCTAGAGCAGAGGGGGAGAATGGGAAGAAAACCCTGCACGCCCGCACCAGGTTCGCCCTGTCACCTCCCATCCATCTTCTTGTGTTGAGCCGATCAGGTCCCAAAGGAGGACTTACCTCAGATGCGTTGGAAAGAGGAATACGAGGAGGCCTTGCTCTGTGCGTTGGGGGAGGGTTCTAGCAAGCGCTTTGATGAAAGGGATTAGGGTCTCGGGTTGAGGGTTTAGGGTTTAAGGTTTAGGGTTTAGGGTTTAGGCGCAGCGTACTATTGGCTGCTATTCTCATACTATCGGGTGTGGAGCGGGCATGCAGAGAGAGCTTGTCCACAGCAGCTGCCCACAACCCCCCCCCCCCCCCTAAACCTCCTAAACCCAAAGCAAACCCCAAACCCCAAGCCCTGCAAGAGGCACACGCGGAAAATCGGCGCAAGCTTCCGGAAGACCAGCGCCCTGAAGTGTGCGGAGCTGAGGGTTCTTGTGAGCCCCAAATGCCCAGAGAACCCAGTTCCCTTTAAGCGATGGAATGGATGTATCCCAATCTATATATATATATGTGTATATATATATATATGTGTATATATATGTATACATATACACACCATGTTCTTTTTCATTACATACATACGTACGTACGCACATACATATATAGATAAACACACACACACACACACACACACCTTGACTTGCTTGGGTCTAGCATTTGGGGTGATTCGGGTCCGGGACATGTGTGTTGACTTTGCTGCTAATCGCTTAGCAAGCCAGGGCTCCGAGTCTTGTGTGAGGCGACATTCTCAGTGAACGGGTATAACCACAGCCTTCTGGGCTTTTTTCGGGTCCCTGCTGTAGGTAGTTTTCGGATAGCCCAGACACCCAACAAGGGCCAATAGCTCAGATGCCTCATGCTGCCAATCAAGGATCCAGCCAAAGTACACGCTGGCCGCGAACTTGGTCCCCCCAAAGAAAAAGTGGCGTTTCTTCCGTGCTCCTAGAGAGCCTCGAGCGCCTTCACTACGGAGTTTGCCTCCCTCAGCCCTAAACCCTGAACCCTAAGCCCTAAGCCCTAAGCCCTAAGCCCTAAGAGCCCCTAAGCCCTAAAAAAAATCCCTAAGCCCCTAAGCCCTAAGCCCTAAACCCCAAAACCCCCCCCCCCCCCCCCCCCCCCCCCCCCCAAAAAAAAAAAAAAAAAAAACCCAGAGGTTGTGAACTCGAAGCCCGAGCTGCTGGCTTGTGTGGCTCATTGGAACCCTTTCCGTTCCTGGGTCGGACCTTGGGATGCTTGTGCATCTTCCATGTAGGGCTTGGGGGTTAGGGGTTTGGGGTTTTGGTCTAGGTTTGGGGGTTCAGGGTTTAGGGTTTGGGGTTTGGGGTTAATGGGGTTAATGGGGTTAATGGGGTTAATGGGGTTAATGGGGTTAATGGGGTTAATGGGGTTAATGGGGTTGATGGGGTTAATGGAGGCCTGAAGATAACGCGGCCAATGTTCCCGAGGGTCTCGTAACCTATTCTTTGGGATGCCCTAAACCCTAAACCCTAAACCCGAAACCCGAAACCCGAAACCCTAAACCCTAAACCCTAACCCTAAACCCTAAACCCTAAACCCGAAACCCTAAACCCTAAACCTGGTTTTGGGCTCACGAACGACCCAGGTTCCCAGACCTTTGCCTGGGTGGATGCGGGTGCTGCAAGGTCCGGGCGCATGTTGCGTTGAATGGGCGGGGAGGGGGCCGGGGGGTGGGTTCCCAAAATTAGCATTTAGGAAGTTTAGGGTTTAGGGTTTATAGTGTTTACGTTTAGGAAGTTTAGGGTTGGTAGTGTTTGCGTTCAGGAAGTTTTGGGTTTACAGTGTTGATAACGTTTGGAAGTTGAGAGGCTTGTAAGGGTACCTGTGGGAATGTGGGCCTTTCTATCCAAACACTCTGAACCCTGAATCCACACTAGGGAACTCCCTAAACCCTAAACCCTAAACCCTAAACCCTAAACCCTAAACCCTAAACCCTACTGCCCACATGATTCCACTTCCCAGGGAAAGCAAGATCGACTACGGCTTTCCAGGCGGACGACTCCAGATGCAGACTCAGAGAGCCCACTGTTCCTTACTTGTGGAGTATATACTCTAAGTTCCTAAACCCTAAACCCTAAACCCCTAACCCCTAAACCCTAAACCCCTAAACCCCTAAACCCTAAACCCCTAAACCCTAAACCCAAAACCCAAAACCCTAAACCCTACTAAGGCATGCTCCGTGATTCAAATGCACTGGGCTCTCCATGATCACACAAACCGAGGGCTGTGGTTCAGGGTCTCAGGGTTAGGTTACTGAGAAGAACCGCAAGAGAAGGTCGACCATGGGTTTAGGGTTTAGGGTTTAGGGTTTAGGGTTTAGGGGTTAGGGGTTTAGGGTTTAGGGTAACAACAGCAGGAGCACGAACAGCAGTCAGCACTAGCCGGAACAGCAGTAGCGGGTCGCAATGTCAGAATCGCAGTCAAAGTAGCAATCGCCAGGTTCGTGATAGCAGTCATACAAGGGGTTTAGGGTTCAGTTTAGGGTTTAGGGTTTAGGGTTTAGGGTTTAGGGTTTGCACTACGTGTCAGAATGTCCAAACATCCTGGCCAAGGTTTGTAGGCTGGAGCGCCTTGCAGTTGCAACGGTGCTGAGCCCAATCCCTAAACTCCCTAGACTCCCAAAACTCCCTAAACTCCCTAAACTCCCTAAACTCCCTCAACCCCCTAAACTCCCTAAACTCCCTAAACTCCCTAAATTCCCTAAGGTCCCTAAACTTAAACCTCAACCCCCAACCCTACGTAAACCCTAAACCCTAAACCCTAAACCCTAAACCCCAAACCCTAAACCCTAAAGCCTCAACCCTAAACCCTAAACCCTAAACCCTCAAGGCTCAACCCTAAACCCTAAACCCTAAACCCTAAACCCTAAACCCTAAACCCTAAACCCTAAACCCTAAACCCTAAACCCTAAGCCCTAAACCCTAAACCCTAAACCCTAAACCCTAAAGCCTAAACCCTAAACCCTAAAGCCTCAACCCTAGCTTCTGCTTCCAGGGGGCTCCAGGCCGATCGTGTTACCCAGCTGCCCGCCCTGGAGCCTTTGCGTCAGGAGCTGAGATGCCGCGGGATGCATCGCCTGGGTCTAGGGTTTAGGGTTTAGGGCTAGGGTTTCGGGTTTAGGGTTTAGGGTTTAGGGTTTAGGGCTAGGGTTTCGGGTTTAGGGTTTGGGGTATAGGGTTTAGGGTTCAGGGTTCAGGGGGCCTCGAGCAGACTCTTAAAGGTCGGACGGCGGATGTGGATAATATTCGACTTCCGCGACAAGCTCAAGCGCTTGGAGCACGGCACGACGTACGACTCCTCCGTGTTGCTAGGCGGTTGGGGGGTTTCATTTCTCTGTGGTGCTTTACTGTAGCTTTAGATCCTTTGCCTTTTTGGGTTAATCGGGTTTCTGAATAAGGCAGCTAAAAATTTCATTATGGCTACCCTGCTAAGTGCAGCCAAGATCTCGGAGCTTCTAAGTAGGGTTTAGGGTTTTCTGTTTTGGGGCTCAGGGGTTCTGGTTGAGGGTTGAAGGTTGAGGGTTCAGAGTTTAGGGTTGAGGGTTTAGGGTTAGAACCCACTGAAGGTCATGGCTTAGGTTCAGAGTTTATGGGGTTAGTTTTTTTTTCTCCTGGTTTTCTCATGTTCTAGCTAGCGCTAGTCAAGCAGCTCGTCATGCGACAGACAAATACCCACCCGCCCATCGACTCTCTCAACATTCCTCTCCCCTAACATGTGGAACACACTCAAAAGGTTTGTTTGTATGTATGTATGTATGTATGTATGTATGTATGTATTTCTATATATATATATATATATATATATATATGTGTGTGTGCAAATTTCAGAGGCTTGAGGGTAGAGGTTGCAAAGCTTGTAGCACTTCCGGCACGTTACTTTGTAGCGTGCCCAAACAGGGACCGTACATTGAGAGAGCACGGCTCATGTTATGCCGGTTTAGGGTTTAGGGTTTAGGGTTTAGGGTTTCGGGTTTGGGGTTTAGGGTTTAGGGTTTATGGTGAACCTGCGCAGGAGGGCGAGAAGGCGTGTTGCTCTATGCCCTCTGGTTCCAATGGGCCATCGGACGCTACCTAGCCGAGAAGGTTATGGACGATGAGCAAAGCATCATCGCATCCCGTCAGCAAGTTGCGAAGCATCCGACACTCCTTCACATGGTGCGTGCTTGGAGGTTCATGGGTACTTGGTAAGTAGGGATACATTCTAGGTAGGGCAACTAATCAGTCGCAAATGAGGCCTCAAGTAACCCTACACCCTAAGCCAGAAACCCTAAGCCCTAAACCAGAAACCCTAAACCTAAACCCTAAACCCTAAACCCTAAACCCTAAACCCTAAACCCTAAACCCTAAACCCTAAACCCCAAATCCCCTAACCCCTAAACCCCAAACCCCTAGACCCTAAGCTGCCCTGAAAAGAGCAGGCCGAGATTTGGTGGGCGGGCAGCTTCCGGATCGAAGGCCCTGGCGAGATGATTGGGGCAAGCAAGGTCACGTCCACGAATCACTCGCCACGCCCTAAACCCTAAAGCCTCAACCCAAAACCCCAAACCCTAAACCCGAAACCCTAAACCATAAACCCTCAACCCTAAACCTGCCAGGCCTCTACGGAATGAGCTGGCCCGAAGTGCTCGCGCAGATGCTCATGGCAGACGCACCCGCCGGCACGGGCGGCACCGCCGAGTCGCTCCTGCGCCTCAGGGGCACCTATTACTTTGTGGGTTTAGGGTTTAGGGTTCAGGGTTTAGGGTTTCGGGATTAGGGATTGGGGATTTTGGTCGCCCAGTGGTGCACTTTTCCCTGTATTTGGTTCAAGGCCCCCTCTTAAAGTAAGCAAGCCCAAAAAGGGTGCCCTCATTATCACATGGTTGCTGGGCTACTCAGATTATGAGTTTTCTTTAGTTTCGTTTTTAAAACAAATTTCGTTTATGCAAGAACGTGATTGTTTTGTTTTTTCGTGTCTTTGTGGCTTTTGAGTATTTTGACAAGAAGAACATGATTGCTAAGCTGTGGTAGCTTCGCATCTCTGATGACGTGATAAGATGCTTGGCGGTTTCGCATCTTCACTTGTGCTTTTGAATTGAATACAAGTGCTATTCTGATGATTCAGGCTCTTTCGAATTGTGTTCTTGACCTCTCCCTGCTGTCATGTGTGACTGAGGCTGATGTTTCGTTCAAACAGATGCCGATTGGCCCGATATAATCCTGATCACCCGTACACAAACCAATAGAACCCACAAACATCTTACATTTGTCGCAGCCTCCCCTAAACCCTAAACCCCAAGCACATAGCCCGCAGCCCCGAGGTACGCGAGCAGTCTTGGCCGTTGGTTTGGTGAGCATCCGAAGCTCGGACCTTGACTCTTTGGTTTGTATGGGTTTATATTGGGTTGACATGCTTTTTCGGGGTTTATATGGTTTATATGGTTTATATGGTTTATATGGTTTATATGGTTTATATGGTTTATATGGTTTATATGGTGTTATGGGGTTTACAGGGTTTATATTGGGTTGACATGGTTTTGATGGGTATATATGGTTCTTCTGGGGGAACCAAAACCCAAGTCCCTCAAGCCTGCACCCCCAAACCCCTTGCATGAGGAGCTTGATTTGGCGCATCCTGGCGGCAGTATATGATGTGTCGAGAACCCTGATCCCTGAATCCTAACGGCTCTACTTGAAGATTCATCAGGGTGCGTATGCAAGAAGGGGGAGAGGGTTATAGGTGGCCTAAATTAGGGTTTTTTTTGCCATAGTTACCCTACTCATAGCTCTACATACATGTACCCGACTGAACCTTCAGGAAAACCCTAAACCCTAAACCCTAAGCCCGGCAAGGGTGAGCGTGCGACATTGCCCAGGCAACACGGGCAAGTTCTGGGTACCATTTGGAGAAAATCTTGAGCTCCTTGGATTGGCATAAACTACCCTAAGCCCCAAACCCTACACCCTACACGCTTTTAACCCCTAAACCCTTTCATCTATTTGCTATGATGGTTACTCTTTGGTGTTGTTTTGCTATTGCGTCCTATTGGTTTAATTATGGGGTGTGTTTGTCTTGCTCGTATCATTGTAGCTCTTGTCGTTGTGGCTACGTACTCTGCTGGCACTCCATGCTCTCTCAGGCTGCAGGAGACGAAGATCGTCAACCAGCTGAACGATGAGCACCTGGAGCGGATCATGCGCCTCTGACCTCGAACCTTAGCAGTTGCGGGGTTCAGGGTTCCCTAAACCCTAAACCCTAAACCCTAAACCCTAAACCCCAAACCCCAAACCCCAAACCCCAAACCCCAAACCCCAAACCCCAAACCCCAAACCCCAAACCCTAAACCCTAAACCCTAAACCCTAAACCCTAAAGCCCTAAACCCCAAACCCTAAGCCCTAAACCCTAGGGTGCTTCCGAGAATCCCATATATTTTCTGCCAAGCGCAGGGCTCTTCTGCATATGAAGCCCGGAGCCCGAGTGAGTCGCCGTGTCCAGTGCCCACACTCAGGTACGGATATGTCTGTGCCAACAAGCAGCTGCTTGGAGTTGACTGGTGAAGAGACATCCTTGAACTAGCACTATCATGGGTCCCCTGGTCCCTTACTACCCCCCTCTATACTCCCCCCCACCCCCCCCCCAAGGTCCCCCCATAACTAAGGCTATTTTGGGGAAATTAAGCCTAATTAAGGTTCTTCTGAGGGGGGAACCTGGGGCTTGATCTCTCCGAGGATTCCGAGATTGGTGGCTTCGTGTGAAAGCTACAAGCGCAAGAAGCTCGCGGCTGCCAGCAAAAGTGTGCGCGCCTGCGCTGACCCTAAACCCTAAACCCTAAACCCTAAACCCTAAACCCTAAACCCTAAACCCTAAACCCTAAACCCTAAACCCTAAACCCTAAACCCTAAACCCTAAACCCTGAACCCTGAACCCTGAACCCTAAACCCTAAACCGCTTGCTGGTGCTTTGTGGTGCCGCTGCGGCCTCCTTCCACTTGGAGGTTCAGGGTACTTGTAACCCCAACTATATCTGTACTTATAAGCCCCCCTACATCCTCTGAGTAGGTTATGTGTAGACTCGTAATTGGGGTAATAAGTGCCCATGAACCTCCAAGCAGACTTCCAGAATTTCAGAACACTCATCAGCCATCTGCAAGGTGACCACAGCATCGCGCAGTGAGCTTGGCGGAACGAGGACTTGAGTACCTGAGCTTGCAGCAGAGAGAAGCACACCACCACACGCACCCACCCGCCCAGCCCCACACACCCACACACCCACCCACTCACCCCCCCACCCACCCACCCACACCCTCGCGCACACACGCCGGCCCGCCCGCCCGAACGTGCGACGCACACCATCATGGATGATGAGATTGGGTCTTTTGGCTCTGGCATTTTGGCTCTGGCAGGAAATACAGCGGCGGCACCGACGATCGCGTGCAAACTGCAGCGGCTTTCGTCACTCTCCTACGTGAGCTTGGAGAGGACAGTTCTCACGAGCCATGAAGAGGGTGACAGACGGTGACGGACGTTTTTCTACTTACCTGAGGTATGTGGTGTGGCTTCGAGCGTAGTGGCTTCCCTCTTTTCACACGCTAGTCGAAAGTCAGTTGCGCTCCTGCTTTGAATTTTGGATGGGCACCCTATGCCAACGCCGAATACAAGCCCTAAGCCCCATTGATCCCTATTGATCCGACGGCGCATGTACTAGCAGTGCAGGTGGCGTACCTAGAAGCCCGAAGCCCCAGCCACACCCCAGACATCTGCAGCTTGCGTTCTTAAACCCTAAACCCTAAAACCCTAAACCCTAAACCCTACACCCCAAAACCCTAAGCCCTTGATTCCTCAGGACGAGAAGGAAGTGACATCCGTGCGGGACGGCCTTGCTCACTACATGGAGTGCTTTGAGGTGGTGAGGGCTTGGGGAAGATGAAGGCCTAAACCCTAAACCCTAAACCCTAAACCCTAAACCCTAAACCCTAAACCCTAAACCCTAAACCCTAAACCCTAAACCCTAAACCCTAAACCCTAAACCCTAAACCCTAAACCCTAAACCCTAAACCCTAAACCGTAAAACCTAAACCCTAAACCCTAAACCCTAAACCCTAAACCCTAAACCCTAAACCCTAAACCCTAAACCCTAAACCCTAAACCCTAAACCCTAAACCCTAAACCCTAAACCCTAAACCCTAAACCCTAAACCCTAAACCCTAAACACCCTAAACCCTACACCGCGAGAGAGCAGGGCCCTGTGGCAGTCGTCAGGCTCAGATCAACCGCTCCAAAACATGACGGCGACTTCGGCGCCACGTGAGGCTGGGCATTGCTTGAGGGTTTGATTTCCACAAGCTTCTCGGTGGCTTTGGTTCGCGTTGCGTGGGTGCAGCTAGTCTTTCGCAAGTTCACGAGCAGGATAAGGTATGAAGTATAGCAGAAGCTGAATCTAAAATTTGCGTGAGACGTTTCTTTGTTGAAAAAACAGACTGGCCTGCAGCCTCTGACATGGAGAGCTGAGTCGAGGTCCTGGAGGAAGACTCCTATTCTTGCAGTAGAAGGAGGGGGTTTAGGAGGGGGTTTAGGGTTTAGGGTCAGCTAGTCTGTCCGATGTCGATGACATGCTACTGCAGGAGGGCAGAGCTAATTTTAACGCTACGCGACCCGCCTCGGCCCGGCCCAGCGTATCCGCGTGAGCATGGTGATTCCGCAGCGCCCAAGTCGCTGGACCCCAAGCAATAAGGGTTGGGTTGAGGGTTGAGGGTTGAGGGTTGAGGGTTGAGGGTTGAGGGTTCCGGGTTTATGGTTTATGGTTTGGGGTTTGGGGTTGAGGGTTAGTTTAGGGTCAAGGTTCACGCTTTGGGGTTGAGGGTTTTTTTGGGTTTAGGGTTCGGCTTGGAGTGATCGTAGGGTTGAGCCAGGCCCCTTAAGGTTTAAGGCGACTCTTCGCCAGGGTGGGGTGGGG